AAACCACACATTAAGTTAACCCTTTGTTGTGGTCATTCACTTTGTTTATGGATTAGGAACAACGCTGCTATGAGTCGCCGTGTACATTTTGTTGGCACACACAAGCACATGTTTCTCACAGTTACAGGAATAGACTTGAATTATTGGTGTAGGAAGAAACTTCAAAATGGTCATGGAAAATGGAGTTAAAAAATAAAAAGTTACCTTAGGCATGGAAAGCCAAGATACTCTGGAAAAAAATAAAATAAAATAAAGGACCGAAATGAAAGATCTCTGCAAGTGAGATCCCAGTAGAAAGAACGGGCCATCAAACAAGGAGGTACCTTTCTCTGAAGTGAGGAGAGAACTTCCACTTTGCCTATGACCTTATCTAAATAAAACTGAAGTAGATGAACTCAAAAGGCTTCCATAGCCTTGGGAGATTACTGATGTCATAAACAAGAGTGCCAATTTGTTAAGTCAACAACAGGAGTCACTGTGCACTTACTCCTCATGTAGGATCTCTGTCCTTAATGTGTTGTTCAATGTGAATTAATACCATAACTAGTACTGAAACAGTATTTTTTTTTGGACAGGCAGAGTGGACAGTGAGAAAGAGAGACAGAGAGAAAGGTCTTCCTTTTGCCGTTGGTTCACCCCCAGCCAGCGCACCGCGCTGATCCAAAGCCAGGAGCCAGGTGCTTCCTCCTGGTCTCCCATGCGGGTGCAGGGCCCAAGGACCTGGGCCATCCTCCACTGCACTCCCGGGCCACAGCAGAGAGCTGGACTGGAAGAGGAGCAACCGGGACAGAATCCGGTGCCCCAACCGGGACTAGAACCCGAATCCGGTGTGCCGGCGCTGCAGGTGGAGGATTAGCCTAGTGAGCTACAGCGCCAGCCCTGAAACAGTGTTTTACACTTTGTGTTTGTGTGGGTGCAAACTGTTGAAATCTTTACTTAGTATATACTAAATTGATCTTCTGTATATAAAGATAATTGAAAATGAATCTTGATGTGAATGGAATGGGAGAGGGAGCAAGAGATGGGAGGGTTGCGGGTGGGAGGGAAGTTATGGGGGGGGGGAGCCACTGTAATCCATAAACTGTACTTCGGAAATTTACATTTACTAAATAAAAGTTAAAAAAATAAAAAGTTACCAATAAACTTTTTTAAACTTTTGGCAGGTGGGGGGATAGGGAGAAGGCACATGTTCTTCCTCTCCACTTCCTGTCTGACTGCACCTCTTTTTAAAATATATATTTTTATATATATATATATATTTATTTGAAAGAATTACAAAGAGAGAGGGAGAGAAAGAGAGAGATCTTCCATCTGCTGGTTCACTCCCCAAAGAGTCATAATGGCCAGGGCTGAGCCAGATCAAACCAGGAGCCACGAGCTTCTTCCAAGTCTCCCACGTGGGTGCAGGGGCCCAAGCAATTGGGCCATCTTCTGCTGCTTTCCCAGGTGCATTAGAAGTGAGCTGAATCAGAAGTGGAGCTGCCAGGACATACAGGATGCAGGCATCACAGGCAGCAGCTTTACCCACTATGACACAGTGCTGGCCCCATCAATAAATTTTATTTCTCACGGCTGGCACTGTAGAGTAGGGGTAAAGCCACCACCTGCAGTGCTGGCATCTCATATGAGTGCCGGTTTGAATCCTGGCTGCTCCACTTCTGATCCAGCTCTCTGCAATGGCCTTGGAAGGCAGTAGAAGATGGCCCAAGTCCTTGGGCCCCTGCACCCACATGGGAGACCCAGAAGAAGCTCCTGGCTCCTGGCTTTGGATCAGTGCAGCTCCGGCCATTGCAGCCACCTGGGGAGTGAACCAATGGAAGGAAGACCTTCAAATAGATGAATAAATCTTTTGGAAAAATTTATTTATTTGAAAGTCAGAGCTACACAAAGAAGGAGAAGCACACAGAGAGAGGTAGTCCATTTGCTGGTTAACTCCTCAGATGGCCCCAATGGCCAGAGCTACCCTGATCCAAAACCAAGAACCAGGAGATCTCCCACATGGTGCATGAACCCAAGGACTTGGCCATCTTCTACTGCTTTCCCAGGCCATAGCAGAGAGCTGGATCAGAAGTGGGGCAGCCAGGTCTTGAACCGGCGCCCATATGGGATGCCAGTGCTTCAGGCCAGGGCGTTAACTAATTCTCAACATAAGCTCCATCAAGGTCAAGACAATGACAGTTATCTGAGGGTCCACAGTGCAGTATTTCATACATTATTTACTGAAGAAAAACTGTAGCCTAATATTAAGAAATACAGTGGAGAAGGATTCACTAGGGAAGCTTTCCTGGGTGTTTTCTGTTAAAATTTTGTCAAAATTTTCAAAACACTCTCATAGTCATCAGAAATTGTCCTGTGGCCCTCCAGAAAGTCAGAAGGTGAAGTGCCTTGAGCGTCCCAAAAACTTGCCGCTAGCACCTTTGCTCCTGACTGGTCTGTGTTGCTTTAAACCACTGCTGCCTCTTGGTAGCCATTGCTTTGATTGTGCTTTGCCATTAGGATCGTACTGAAAAGCCACGACTTAGCTCCTGTTTGAAGATTCTTGAGGATATTGATCCCACTTGCTTGATATTTCCACTGAAAGCTCTGCTATTGTGTGCAGCTGATCTGAGCACATCAGTCTCGGCACCATCCAACAGGAAGTGAGCTCAACTTGAGTTTTTCAGAGTCATTGGCATTCAAACAATGGAGATGTCTGTGCTGTTGGCTGTTGTTTCTGCTGTTACTTGTCAGCCCCTTCAATTAGGGCATCAACTGATGGATATTTTTTTCTCAAATATTAATGTGGATAGTTTGTTGCTACAGGCTTTATCTTCCTGATTTCTCCAAATGGGTTATCCATTTGTACACTGCTGGTTTATTTGGGAATCTATCATCATAATCTTTTCATAAATCTTTAATGATTTCACCATTCTTCCACCCAAGCTTCTCCATAAATTTGATGTTTGTTCTTGCTTTAATTTTAGCAGAATTCATGCTGCTTTGGTAGGAGTTCTTTTCAAACTGCTGCTTCAGATTTAGTGTCTCACATTAGATCATGTTCACGAATGTTAAAGCAAGATAGTATTGTCGCTCCCCGTCTTCGTGGAGGAACGACACAGAACCCTGCGCTGTTCTCTTGTCTGCTTGGCCCTCCCCGGGTTTGCTGCTGGTTCTTCCCGGGTTGGCTACCGACCCTTCCACCTCCGTGGAAGGGTTCCCCCTAGCCACTTTCCCCACTTCCCTGGGGGAGCAGCACACCGCCGGCCGGCTCTCTCGGGGGCTGCACAGGTGTTCCCCTTAGATGTTCCTGGTGCATGTTGTCTCTCTCCTCCTTTATAGTCCTCTCCACCAATCCGTGCTCTGCTACCCACACGCTGAGCGCGCCGCTCTCCTCCAATCAGGAGCGGCTCTTGCAGCTTGTCAAGTTGGTGAGAGGCAGCTGGGTAGAAGCTGTACACTCCTCTCCCAGCGCCACATTGTGGGAGAGCAGATGCATAGAATAAGTCTTAATTCCAGTAACAGTATACTCCGAGTTGCTCCCCACAAGTATGAGTTTATATTTGGGCAAAATAATTACAGGTGGGTAGATAAGAAGGCTGTGAGGAGCTGAGTGTGGTCAGGGCTGTGCCCAGTCAGTGCTCAGTCCATGGTGGGCATTTATGCAGTCACTCCTTAACTCGGTCATCATTTCCACTGTCCTTGTCTCTCCAGGACAACGTTGTCCCACCACGACACATGACCACAGGGACTCACTGCTTCCACCTAATGGCTCACTCCCCAGATACCCACAACTGTTGGGGTTGGGCCAGGCCAAGCTCAGAGCCTGGATCTCAATCCGGGTCTCCATGGAGGTGGCAGGGACCCAAGCACTTGAGCCATGCTTTGCTGCCTTCATAAGGCATGCAGTGGAAGAAAGCTTGGAAGGAAGTTCCATCTCTCCTTCTCTCTCTGCAACTCTGCCCTTCAAACCAAATCAATAAATCCTTCCAAAAATAAATTTTTTTTCCTTAAGAAAGAAAATGAAGGGCATATATTGTCAATTATGAGACACAATGTTGGGAGATAGATGCTGACCCCTCTCCCAGGGAATATAGTGCAGGTGGTGGTCAGGAAGAGGCTTCCAGCTGAACATAAAGAACTCTCTGAATGCTGCTTTCTGAAATTATTCCCCAGATGTTTTCTCATTTCTTGGAGCAAACAATGGAGTCCAAATGTTTATGATTTACATAGAGTATATATATATATATATATGCTATTGAGAGCAAATTTAATTTTGACAAAGGTTGCAGAACCAGGCTTGACTCTACACAGTCTGGAGCAGAATCCATATCTCCACCCTAACTGGGTCCCGTGTAGGTGCCACGGTCCTCCCACTGGGCACAAATGGCACAGCTCACACCACTGACACCTGATGCTGGGCACGGGACCCTGCAGCTGGGACTGCTGTCACTGCCACCCCTGGAAGTGTGGCATCACTACTGCCACTCAGACCAGCCCTGCCAGATGCATCTGCACAGACCTGGCCTCCACGCATCAGCTCACCCTGATCAGCGTCCTGCATGTGATCAAGTGCCCAGTGGAGTCTCCGCCTCAGCCTGTGTCCCACTGTAGGAATGACGGGAGTTTTCCTCTCCTCCGGAAGGAGGCACTTTCTGTCTCTTCTCAAGATGTTAAATGTGAGCCGGCGCTGCGGCTCACTAGGCTAATCCTCCGCCTTGCGGCGCCGGCACACCGGGTACTAGTCCCGGTCGGGGTGCCGGATTCTGTCCCGGTTGCCCCTCTTCCAGGCCAGCTCTCTGCTGTGGCCCAGGAGTGCAGTGGAGGATGGCCCAAGTGCTTGGGCCCTGCACCCCATGGGAGACCAGGGGAAGCACCTGGCTCCTGCCATCGGATCAGCGCGGTGCGCCAGCCGCAGCGGCCATTGGAGGGTGAACAAGCGGCAAAAGGAAGACCTTTCTCTCTGTCTCTCTCTCTCTCTCACTGTCCACTCTGCCTATCAAAAAATTAAAAAAAAAAAGATGTTAAATGTGAAATTCTCCAAAGGTTGAAAGAGTTTTCAGGTATTGGGCAGTAAGAGGTAAAGAAAGCTAATGAATTTGAATTACGGAGCAATGATCAGAGCCAAGAACTTTATCTGGGACTTGGAAGGCACTCGGGTTTGGCTGAGTGAACAGGTGACTGAAGATCACATCTTGAGAGTACATGACTAGGTCTAGCTTTTTTCCATGCTAGTTATATACAGTTATATACAGTTGTATTTCACATGGATATGTTTCTGGAAAATTAATCAGCAACACTTACTGCTTTTACTAGTTTTTAAGTTTATTAACACGTAGTAGTTGTATGCTGAACGGCATAGAGTACAGTATTTGCAAACACATACAGTGTAAAATCATGAAGTGAGATGACTAGCAGTTCCATTTCCCTATCTTTTCTTTATGTTTGGGGCCCATCGGCTTCTTCTTTCCTGTTCATTATGTGGCTTAAATGCAACCATTTTGACCACTGGGGCCCCACTCTGCTGAGGAACACTAGAATTTAGTACTTCTATCTGAATTTTGGTACTGTTACCCAACCTCCCTCCCTATCCTTCTTCCTCCCCTCCCCAGTCTCAGGTAACCACTATCCTAAATTCACATTGACTTACAGTGAACTTCCACCTACGAGAGGGGTCATGTGGTACTTGCTTACTGCACTTAATATAATGATCTCCAGTTCCATCAGTTTGCTACTGCCTTCTTCTTCATGGCTGAAATGTTTTCTCTGTCCAGTCGTCCAGCAGTAGACATGCAGGTTAATTCCATATCTTGGCTACTGTGACCAGTACAGCAATGAACATAAGAATGTGTGTGCTGATTTCATTTCTCACGAATATATACCCAGAAGTGGGGCACTTTCTTGGTCGATCTCTCTAGTTTTTTGATGAGCTTCGATGCTGCTCCCCAGGTGCTGCACTAAGTACACTCTGGCCGACAGGTATTCTCTCCACATCCACACCAGCGTTTATTATTTTTTGTCTTTTCGATAATAGCCATTCTAACTGGAGTGGATTACTGTCTCATAGTGGTTTTGATTTGAATTTTTAGGACAGTTAGTGTTATTGAGCATGTTTTCATGTTTGTTGGCTATTTATTTGTGTTTCCTGGGAAATGTCTACTCAAATGTACTGACCATCTTGGAACTGATTGCTTGTTCTTTGTTGGGTTTTTTGAGTTCCTTATGTATTCTGGATATTAATCCTTTGTCAAATAGTTTGCAAATCTTTTCTCCCATCTGTCAGTTGTCTCCACTCTGTTGTTTCCTCTGCTGTGCAGACTGTGGGTGATCCTGTACCTGGCTAGGAGACTGTCCATGCAGGGGGTTAACCTGACTGCTGGCAGACAGCAGGAGCCCCAGGCACACTTCCCCCACCCCCGCCAATCAGGTAAACTGCTCCTGGGTGTAGCCCAGACCCACCAGGAAGGCTACCTAGCTAAATGAGCTTCAAGCTGATTGGAGCATAGCGGTGCCAATATCTGCTCTCTCCTACAGAATTAGTGTTGCCCTGAATCAGCTACACCCCCCACTGCCTGCCCTTTAAAAGGTGTGCTTGATTGTTAATAAAAGGACATGTTCACTGAAACTTGTCTCCGGTGCTTCTTGTCGAGGAACACTGTCGCCCCACCATCCTACAGTGCGCGGGCCTCGCAGGTCAAGCCTGCAGCAGCCACTTCTTAGTTTGATATAATCCCATTTCTCTAAAAAAATTTTGCCTACACTGATGTCTTCAAATGTTTTCTCTATGTTGATTAGAGTAGTTCTATTATTTCAGTTCTTATCTTTAAGTCTTTTATCCATTTGAGTTGATTTGGCTATAGCATGAGAGGTAACGATCTTGTTTGATCTTTTGCATATGGAAGAATTTATCGGAGTTATCCCTTCCCCAGTGTATGCTGTTGGCATCTTTGTCAAGAATCAGTTGGCCGTAGGCATGTGGATTCATCTCTGAGATCTCTGCTCTTTGATATCTGGTCTTTATGTCTGTCTAGGCACTAGTACCACGCTGTTTTGCTTACCGAGCTCTACAGTATGTATTGCAATCAGGAATTGGAATATTTCCAGCCTTTTTTTAATTTTCTGCAAGTTTTATGCTTCCATATGAATTTTAGGATTTTTTCCTAGTTTTGTGAAGAATGACATTGATATTTTGGTGAGGGTTGCAATGAATCTATAAATCATGTTTTATAAATTTCCATTCTTCCTATCTATAAACACTACATGTCTTTCTAGTTTCTGTATTTTCTACGATTTTGTTTATTGATGTTTTTGTAATTTTCATTGTAGTGGTCTTTCATATCATTGGATAAATTTGTTTTAAGTTTGCTTTTGGTAGCTATTGTGAATGAGTTTGCTCTTATTTCAGTAATGAGTTCACTATTGGTGTATAAAAATGCTATGCTATTGCATGTTAGTTTGTATCCTGCAATTTTGCTGAACTGCTAAACTTCGTTTTCATTTCTATTCATTTTCTGGTAAAGTATTTAGGATTGTTATATGTACACTCATGTCATCTGTAAACAGCAATAATTTTACTTCCTTTTTTCCTATTCGTAATTTTATTTCTTTCTCTTGCCCAACTGCTCTGCCTAAAAACTTCAGGATTATATTGAATAAAAATGAGAGTAAATATCCTTGTCTGGTTCCAAATCTGAGAGGAAACGTCTTCAGTTTTTCCACTTTCAACATGATGTTAGCTATTTGCCTGTCTAGGAGCCTTGACTGTATTGAGGTTTGCTCTTTATACACCTAATCTCTTCAGGGATTTTTGTCATGAAGAGAAGTTGAATTTTTTATTGAGTTCATTTTCTGCACCTATTGAGATGATCAGATGATCCTCATCCTTCGTGCCATTGATGTGATGTTTACACTTATCTGTTTGCATGTGTTGAACAATCCCTGCATCCCTAGGATAAATGTTTCCTGATCGTTTGAATGATCATTTTGATGTGCTAGTGGATTTGATTACTGAATATTTTATTTGTAATTCTAATAAGGAATTATTCATCAGGGATATTGATCTACAGTTTTCTTTTTTGGTCTTGTCCTTGTTTGGTTTTGGAATCAAGGTTGTGCTTGTCTTATAGAATAAGTTTTTTTGAATGGTTTAGACCAATTGATATTAATGTTATCTTTTTCCCCAGGAAAGCTCTTATTTAAGGATACGAACTTCATGCATTTCATAAATGCAACTTTAGGAACATAGTAATTCTTCCCACATACCACCCTCCCACCCACACTCTCACCCCTCTTCCTCCTCCCACTCCTAATCCCCTTATTATTTTTTTACTAAGATCTACTTTCAATTAACTTTATAACACATACAATTAACTCTATATTAAGTAAGGAGTTCACAAATATTATGAAAAAGAACTGTTCCTCAACAGTTGAGACAAGGGTTATTTAAAGACATTGCATTTCAAAGTGTCATTTTCATTTCTATATTTTATCATTTAGGTGCTCTATTAGTTATCAAAGGTCAGGGAGAACATATGATATTTGCCCCTTTGGGACTTGCTTATTTCACTAACTATAATGTTTTCTAGTTTTAGCCATTTTTTTTAAACAACAGGATTTCATTTTTTTTACCACCATGCAGAATTCCATGGTGTACATATCCCATAATTTCTTTATCCAGTTTTCAGTTGAAGGGCATTTGGGTTGATTTCATACCTTAGCTATTGTGAATTGAGCTGCAATAAACATGGGGGTACAGATAACTCTTTCATTCGCTGATTTCATTTCCCTTGAGTAAATTCCCAGGAGTGGGATGGCTAGATCAGATGGTAGGACCAGATTCAAATTTCTGAGGTATCTCCATACTGTCTTCCACAGAGGCTTTACCAGTTTGCATTCCAAACATCAGAGGATTAGGGTACCTTTATCCCAACATCCTCGCCAGCATTTGTTGTTTGTTGACTTCTGTACGAAAATCATTCTAATGGGGATGAAGTGAAACCTCACTGTGGGGAGCAACTGGGAGCAACTCGGACTAGACTAAGTTACTGGAATTAAGACTTATTCTATGCATCTGCTCTCCCACAATATGGCGCTGAGAAGGGAAACAGCTTCTACACAGCTGCCTCCAGTTCAACCAATAAACTGTAGGACCTGCTCCTGATTGGAGGAGAGCAGCGTACTCGGCGTGTGGGTAGCAGAGTTGGGATTGGCGGAGGAGGACTATAAAGGAGGAGAGAGACAACATGTACCAGGGAACATCTATGGGGAACATCTGAGGGAACACCTGTGCAGCCCCCGAGAGAGCCGGCCGGCGGTGTGCCGCTCCCCCGCGGAAGTGGGGAATGTGGCAGGGGGAACCACCCTTCCACGGAGGTGGAAGGGTCGGTAGCCAACCCGGGAAGAACCAGCAGCAAACCCGGGGAGGGCCGAGCAGACAAAAGAACAGCGCAGGGTTCAGTGTTGCTCCCCCACGAAGACGGGGAGCGACACCTCACTGGGGTTTCGATTTACATTTCCCTGATGGCTAGCGGTTCTCAGCACTTTTTCATGTGTCTGTTGGCCATCTGGATTTCCTCTTTTGAAAAATGCCCGTTTAAGTCCTTTGCCCATTTCTTAACTGAGTTCTTTGTTTCGTTGTTGAGTTTTTTTTTTTTAAAGATTTATTTGAAAGTCAAAGTTACAGAGAGAGAGAGAGAGAGAGAGAGAGAGAAGTCTTCCATCCAATGGTTCACTCCCCAGTTGGCGGCAATGGCTGAAGCTGCGCCAATCTGAAGCCAGGAGCCAGGATCTTTTTCCAGGTCTCCCACATGGGTGCAGGGTCCCAAAGACTTGGGCCTTCTTCTACTGCTTTCCCAGGCCATAGCAGAGAGCTGGATTGGAAGTGGAGCAACCAGGTCTTGAACCAGCACCCATATGGGATGCCGGCACCTCAGGCCAGGGCCTTAACCCACTGCGCCACTCCACCAGTCCCTGTTGTTGAGTTTCTTGATCTCTTCATATACTCTTGCTATTAATCCTTTATCAGTTGCATAGTTTGCAAATAATTTCTCCTATTCTGTCAGTTGCCTCTTTGCTGAGTGTTTCTTTTGCAGTGCAGAAGCTTCTCATTTGATGTAATCCCATTTGTCAATATTGACTTTGATTGCCTGTGCCTCTGGGATATTTTCCAAGAACTTTTTGCCTATGCCAATGTTTTGCATGATTTCTCCAATGTTCTCTAATAATTTAATGGTATTGGGTCATAGATTTAGGTCTTTAATCCATTTTGAGAGGATTTTTGTATAAAGTGTAAAGTAGGGGGTCTTGCTTCATACTTTTGCATGTGGAGATCCAGTTTTCCCAGCACCATTTGTTGAAGAGACTGTCCTTTCTCTGCTCCAGGGATTGATTTTAGCTCCTTTGTCAAAGATAAGTTGGTTGTAGATCCATGGGTTGATTTCTGGGGTTTCTATTCTGTTCCACTGGCCTACCCATCTATTTTTGTACCAGTATCAGGTTGTTTTGATTAAATTGCCCTGTAGTATGTCTTGAAATCTGGTATTGTAATACCTCCAGCTTTGTTTTTGTTGTACAAAATTGCTTTAGCTATTCAGGATCTCCTGTATTTCCATATGAATTTCAGAATCATTTTTTCTAGATCTGAGAAGAATGTCCTTAGTATTTTGATTGGTATTGCATTGAATCTGTAAATTGCTCTAAGTAATGTGGACATTTTGGTGGTATTGATTCTTCCAATCCACAAACATGGAAGATTTTTCCATTTTTTTGTGTGTCTTCTTCTATTTCTTTCTTTAATGTTTTGTAATTATCATCAAAAAGATCTTTGACACCCTTGGTTAAATTTATTCCAAGGTATTTGATGTTTTGCAACTATTATGAATAAGATTGATCTCAGAAGTTCTTTCACAACCATGGCATTGTCTGTGTATATAAAAGATATTGATTTCTGTGTGTTGATTTTATATCCTGCCACTTTACCAAACTTTTCTGTGAGTTCCAATAGTCTCTTAGTGGAGTCATTTGGATCCCCAATGCACAGGATCATATCACCTACAAATAGGGATAGTTTGACTTCCTCCTTCCCAATTTGTATCCCTTTGATTTCCTTTTCTTGTCTAATGACTCTGGATAAAACTTCCAGGACTGTATTGAATAACAATGGTGAGAGTGGGCATCCTTCTCTGGTTCCAGATCTCAGTGGGAATGCTTCCAACTTTTCCCCCATTCAGTAGGACACTAGCTATGGTTTTGTCATAAATTGCCTTGATTGTGTTGAAGAATGTTCCTTCTATACCCAATTTGCTTAAAGTTTTCATCATGAAAGAGTGTTGTATTTTTTTTAAAGATTTTATTTATTTTATTTATTTATTTGACAGGTAGAGTTACAGACAGTGAGAGAGAGAGAAAGGTCTTCCTTCTGTTGGTTCACCCCCAAAATGGCCACTACGGCCGGCACTGCGCCGATCCGAGGCCAGGAGCCAGGCGCTTCTTCCTGGTCTCTCACGTGGGTGCAGGGGCCCAAGCACTTGGGCCATCATCCACTGCCCTCGCGGGTCACAGCAGAGAGCTGGACTGGAAGAGGAGAAACGGGACTAGAACCCGGTGCCCGTATGGGATGCCAGCACCGCAGGTGGAGGATTAGCCAAGTGAGCCATGGCGCTGGGCCCAGAGTATTGTATTTTATAAAATACTTTCTCTTCATATATTAAGAAAATCATATGGTTTTTGTTCTTAATTTGTTAATGTGGTGTATCACATTGATTGATTTGTGAATGTTGAACCATCCCTGCATAGCTGGGATAAATCCCAATTGGTCCTGGTGAGTGATCTTTCTGATGTGTTATTGAATTTGATTGGCAAGTATTTTGTTGATGATTTTTACATCTATGTTCATCAGTGAAATTGGTTTGTAGTACTCTTTCTCTGTTTTATCTTTCTCTGTTGTTATCTTAATTTAGGAGTTAAGGTGATGCTGGCTTCACAGAAGGAGTTGAAGGGGATCCCCTCCTTTTTAGTTTTTTTTTGAATAGCTTGAGAAGAGCTGCAGGTAGTTCTTCTTTGAATGTCTGGTAGAATTCAGCAGTGAAGACATCTGGTCCTGGGCCTTTCTTTACTGGGAGAGTCTTCATTACTGATTCCATTTCCAAATCGGTTATAGGTCTGTTTAGGTTTTCTATGTCTTCATGGCTCAATTTAGGTAGGTTGTACATGTCCAGGAATCTATCCATTTCTTCTAGGTTTCTCAGTTTGTTGGCATTCAGCTCTTTGTAGTAATTTCTGATGATTATTTTTATTTCCATGGTGTCTGTTGACACAATTCCTTTTTCTTTTTTTTTTTAATGTATTTTATTTATTTGAAAGACAGTTACAGGTAGAGATAGAGCCAGAGGGAGAGAGGTCTTCCATCGCTCGTTCACTCTCCAAATGGCACAACAGCCAGAGCTGAGCTGATCTGAAGCCAGGAGCCAGGAGCTTCTTCTGGGTCTCCCACGTGGGTGCAGGGACCCAAGCACTTGAGCCATCTTCCACTGCTTTCCCAGGCCTTTCTCGGAGGGATCCGGGATCCCTGCTCCCTGCCACAGTACCCTGACTGTGGGATTCAAGTCCCCATCCAGGTACTGGATCTGCCCTTTATCTTCCATGTGCTTTACAACAGAGCAAGCGTTAGCACGCAGGCACAGACTGGGGAGATCCTGTGTGCGAAAGGGGCTTCCCAGGAATGGGGCAGTTGCACTTCTCCTGGGGCTTGCAATTCCCCAGAGGGACAGGAGACTCAGACTCCACCCTCCTCTTCCCTACCTGAGCTCTGCCTCGTCCTCCTCATCACAAAGTGACCAGAGCTCATATGACCACAGCTCCAAGCACCACCAATCCAGCAACAATTCCCGCTGTGGGGATGGTGGGCTGAGCAGGAGGCTCTGAGAAGGGAAGGGGAGGTGAGGGGCTCTGACCCCAGCTCTCAGCCCTGCCCCTGCTGGAGGCCCCAGCAGGGCTCTGCCCTCCCCACAGAGGCCCCGCCCCTCCTGCCCTCCTCACCCCATCTCAGGGTGAGGGGCTCAGGCAGCCCCTCGTGCTGCACACGGCACGTGTATCTCTGCTCCTCCCCAGAAGGCACCACCACAGCCACTCACTTCTGGAAGGTTCCGTCGCCCCCAGGCCTGGTCTCCACGAGCTCCGTGTCCTGGGTCTGGTCCTCCCCATCCCGCTGCCAGGTCAGTGAGATCTCTGCGGGGTAGAAGCCCAGGGCCCAGCACCTCAGGGTGGCCTCGCGGTCAGAGGCGGGGTGGTGGGTCACATGGGCTTTGGGCGGGTCTGAGGGAAAGATTTGGAAAGTTCAGGCACTTTGTGACCTTCGTGGGACACAGGAGCAGCACTCACGGGACCATCTTGAGAATGGAGATCTGGGGGACTTTGGCCCTGGAGACTCGGAGCCCCCTGGGCACCACGCGGGGAGGGGTCGCGAGCTGCGGTCGGGCCCGAGTCACTCACCGGCCGCGCTCTGGTTGTAGTAGTCGCGCAGGGTGTTCAGGTTCACGCGGTGAGTCTGCGCGGTGTCCTCGGCGTTCCGCCTGTTCCGGTCCCAGTTCCCCGGGTCCACCTGTCGTATCCACCGCGCCCGTGGCTCCATCCTAGGTCTCGCGGCGTCGCTGTCGAAGCGCACGAACTGCGTGTCGTCCACGTAGCCCACGGAGATGAAGCGCGGCTCCCCCATAGCCGGGCCGGGACACCGCGGTGTAGAAACAACTCAGGGAGTGCGAGCCTGCGGGCGAGAGCCTACGGGCGGGCGACAGCGACTGAGAACTGCCCGACCCCGCCCGCAGCGGGACCCCCTGGTCTGGGTCAGGTGGGAGGAGGGGAGAGAGAGTCCTGAGACCTGAGACGGAAAAGGGGCGGCGGGGAGTGGACTGGGGAGGGGAGGGTGCAGGACCGGAGCGGCCGGCCGAGGTGGGGGCGTCTGGGCCAGGGGCTGAGGAGACGCCGCTCCCCCGGGGTCCTGTGTCCCCACCGCGTGGTCCCCTCGCTCCTACCCCACAGAGGCCGTCTCTCTCTGGACCTCGCACTTACCCGCCTGAGTTTCGTTCAGGGTCTGGGCCAGGGTCCCCAATAGCAGCAGAGGGGGGTCCGGGGCGCCATCGAGTTCATTTTCTGGGTCTGGAAACCGGACGGCCACTGAAAGTGAGACCGGGGCCTGCGTCACGAGTGTCCAGGCAGAAGGACCCGACCCAGGTTGTGAAGTGGAAGTGAAACTCAGGGACGCGGGGCTTCCCGCCGCTGGGCTTCCCCCGCGCAGACCCCGCCCTCGGACCGAGACCCTGAGTGCTGCCCCGGGACCTGGACTCTGCCCCCACCCCTGTCCTCCAGAGCCCCGGGGTGGGGGAAGTCCCCCCCCCCCCCCCCCCCAGCAGCTGTCTGAGGAACCCGGAGAGCCCCAGGCCGGCCCAGCCCCTCCCTTCCTTCCCGGATCCCTGTCCCTGAGCTGTGCCCTGCTCTTTCCTGTCCCCTTGGACTCTTTTTTTTTTTTTTTTTTCAGATTTTTAAAAATTTATTTAGTATTTGAAAGGTAGAGTTACAAAGAGGCAGAGAGAGATATGCAGAGAGGTCTTCCATCCTCTGGTTCATTCCCCAAATGACTGCAAAGGCTGGAGCTGAGGCGGTCTGAAGCCAAGAACAAGGAGCTTCTTCCGGGTCTCCTGCGCGGGTGCAGGGGCTCAAGGACTTGGGCCATCTTCTACTGTCCCAGGCCACAGCAGAGAGCCGGATCAGAAGAGGAGCAGCTGGGACTAGAACTGGCGCCTATATGGGGTGCAGGCGGTGCAGGCAGAGGATTAACCTGAGCCACGGCCGGCCCCTATTGCAAGCTTTTGAACAGTAAACCAGTGAATGGAAAATATCTCTATCTACCTATCATCCATGTATCTATCAATCAGCTATCTTATCTATGTCTCTGACACTCTACGTTTCAGATTGGTTCAAAATGAATAAATAAGTGTCTGGGACCAACAGAACAAGCACCAGCAGCCTGGCTGCCAGTGTAGTCTGCCGTCCCCCTCATGGGGTCCAGGACCCAGGAGGCCAAGAAGCTGGCCGGCCGCGCAGTGGCGGAGAACCACGTGAGGATAACCAAGCGCTGGGAACCGGGAGTGGTTCCAGATTTGTGCTGGCCGCACAGCAAACAGCGGGAGTGAAGCCCGACAATCTGAACCTGCTGCGTTCCCACTTCCCCCCAGGCCTGGCGGCTCGTACTGCAGTCTGACCTGGAGCGACCCCTAGCGGCTGACCTCGCCATGGACGGTGCTGACCCGCAGATGCTGATCTCAGTCTCATCGAGGGTGGTAGAGGCAGCCTGACCCACGGGAAGATGCCGGCAGGCTCGGCCGGTCACGTCATTCTGGTCTCTGATTTCATAAAAGAGTCAAAGGATCTCGGGGACCAGTGGCATAGAGGACAACCAAATGGCCTGAGTCCCGGTGAGCCGAGCAGTGACCGCGAAGCTTGGGGGTGAGGTTTAACTTCAAATGGCCATTCTCAAGGCTGGTCCTGTGGTGACAGCTGATGGGAATTTGATCCTGGCCTGGAAGTTTGACCAGGTACACAAATGGAGTGAAGGGACCACAGCGTCCCCATACAGACACTGGTTCAAGTCACAGCTGCTCCACTTCCCATCCAGCTCCCTGCTAATGTGCCTGGGAAAGCAGTGGAAGATGGCCCAGGTCCTTGGTTCCCTGCACCCAGGTGGGAGGCCTGAATGAAACTCCTGGCTCCTGGCTTCGGAATGGCTCAGCTCCAGCTGTTGCAGCCATTTGGAGAGTAAATAGTGACTGGAAGACCTCTCTCTGTCTCTCTCTCTTTCTCTCCCTCTGTAATTCTGCCTTTCAAATCTAAAAATAAATCATTTTTTTTCAAATTCAGGTTTTTTTTATAAAACAGAACTCAGTTTCATATTTTATATGAAATATTTGCAATACAAGATGGGGGGAGGGACTATCTTGAAAACCTTTGGCACCACTATACTCCAAAAGTTGTACTTATGAAATTTATACTTATCAAATAAAAGCTTTCTATAAAAAAAACAACCTTTGGCTTGAGCCTGCTGAGTAAGCTGATGATCGCCTGATGCCGTCAGAGAACCTGGTGACTTCACTGCCCTCTCTTCTGTGTCCTCAGTGGGCGCCCATTGCAGTCACAGCACAACCATCACTTCTCAAGGTCAGGTCTACAGGGGGCCGCTGTTGTGGCATAGGGGGTGGAGCCACCGCCTGCAGTGCTGGCATCCTAAATGGACGCCGGTTTGAGTCCCAGCTGCTCCGCTTTGGATCCAGCTCCATGCCAGTGCTCCTGGGAAAGCAGCAGCAGATGGCCCAAATGCTTGGGCCCCTGCACCCAGGCAGAGACCCAGAGAGCTCCAGGCTCCTGGCTTTGGCCTGGCGCAGTCTTGGCAGTTGCGGCCATTTTGAGAATGAAGCAACAGATGGGAAGATTTCTCTCTCTCTCTCTTTCTCTCCCTCCCTCTCTCTCTCTGAAATAAAAAAGATCAGTGTGCCTCTCTGGCCAGCATCTTGGCTTCCTGGGCCCTGGACCCCGTGAGGGGGGCAGGCAGACTATACTGCCAGCCAGGCTGCTGGTGCTTGTGCTGTTGGTCCCAGACATTTATTTTGAACGAGGAGTGTCAGAGACATAGATAAGACAGATGATTGATAGAGAGACGGATGATAGGTAGATAGAATTATTTTCCATTCACTGGTTTGCTGTTCAAAAGTTTACAATAGGGGCTGTGGTACAGTAGGTTAATCCTCTGCCTGCACCGCCTGCACCCCATATAGGTGCCAGTTCTAGTCCCAGCTGCTCCTCTTCTGACCCAGCTCTCTGCTGTGGCCTGGGAAAGCAGTAGAAGACGCTCCAAGCATTTGGGCCCCTGCTGCCACTTGGGAGACCTGGAGGAAGCTCCCGGTTCCTGGCTTCAGATCAGCTACGGCCATAGCAATCATCTGAGCAGTTAACCAGCAAATGGAAGACCTCTCTGTCTATCTCTTTCTCTGCCTCTCTATAACTCTACCTTTCAAATAATAAATAAATTTTTAAAAATCTTTAAAAAAAAAAAAAAAAGAGTTCAGGGGGACAGGTAAGGAGCAGGCACAGCTCAGGGACAGGGATCCGGGAAGGAAGGGAGGGGCTGGGCCGGCCTGGGGCTCTCCGGGTTTCCTCAGACAGAGGCTGACAGGCCCGGGGAGGGCGGGGGGGGGGACACATCACGCAGCGCGGGGCTCGGGAGGACAGGGGTTGGGGCAGAGTCCAGGTCTCGGTCCGAGGGCGGGTCTGGGCCGGGGAAGCCCAGCGGCGGGAAGTCCCTGCGTCCCTGAGTTTCACTTCCACTTCACAACCTGGGTCGAGTCCTTCTGCCTGGACACTCGTGACGCGGGCCCCGGTCTCACTTTCATTGGCCGTCCGGTTTCCAGACCCAGAAATTGAACTCGATGGAGCCTAGGACCCTCCTCCTGCTGCTCACGGGGACCCTGACCCTGACCCTGACCGAGACCCAGGCGGGTGAGTGTGGGGTCGGGAGGGAGACGGCCTTCGTGAGGCAGGAGCGAGGTTTCCGCGCGGTGGGGACACAGGACCCCGGGGAGCGACGTCTCCTCAGCCCCCCGCCCAGACGCCCCCACCTCGGCAGCGCCGGTGCTGCCTTTCCCTACCCGCCTCCCTTTCAGTCTCACCACCCCCTCTCCCCTTCCTCCCAGCCGGGTCCCACCTGTCTCAGACCCGGGGTTCCCGCTGCTGGCGGGGGTCGGGCAGTTCTCGGCCGCTCCCGCCCGCAGGCTCGCAACTCTGAGTTACTTCTACACCGCCGTGTCCCGGCCCGGCCTGGGGTAGCCGCGCTTTCTCGCCGTGGGCTACGTGGACGACACGCAGTTCGTGGGCTTCGACAGCGACGCCGAGAACCCGAGGATGGAGCCACGGGCGCCTTGGTGAGGCAGGTGGACCCGGGGTACTGGGACAGGGAGACACAGCGCTGCAAAAACATTGCGCAAACTGACCGCGTGAACCTGAACACCCGGCGCGGCTAGGAAAACCAGAGCGAGGCTGGTGAGTGACCCGGGCACGACCGCAGCTCGCGACCCTTCCCCGCGTGGTGCCCAAGGGGGCTCCGAGTCTCCGGGGCCGAGGTCCCCCAGACTGCGGGCCCCGCGCAGACCCTCGGATGGGAAGAACCAGGGGGACCCTCACGCCGGAAGGGGCGTGTGCGGTGTCGGGTAGAGACGGCAGCCCCGGGCCCGGCATCACTGCAGAACTAGCCCGCTTCTGAGCAGTCCTGGACTGAACCGGGGGCCCGCTGCGGCAGAGGCTGTAGGAGAGGAGCGCGCAGCCGCCCTTGTGTGTCCTGGAGGTTTCCACCGCCCCCTGACACGCCTCCTCCAGCCCCTGGTCACTACTGAGCAGTAGAACCGCTTCCTCCCGTTCTCTGCTGCTTTTCAGCGCCCTTGCAGCGCTCACAGCCTTTGCGGAAGGAGCTGTGAGGCTCTGGAGCCTTGCTCATCTCTGCAGAGGTCCTGGGCGCCTGGGGTCCCCGGGCACGGAGGCAGTGTCCCGAAGGGAGCTTTTCCAAACCACGTGATGCTGACATTCCCTCTCATCTGCAAGATGAGTTTACCTGGTGCGGCCAGTGGCTGTGTGACTCAGCCCAGCCCCCAGACCCCCGTGGAGTCCTCCCCTCGGGGGACCCCAGTATGGTGCTCCCTAGTGAGGACACAGCTCCCGGGGCCAGCTCCCTGCCTGGCATGGTCCTCAGGTCCTCTTGGAGAGCTGGTCCCGCACTGCCCTTCTCTGGGCGGGGTCCAGCGCTGTGGCATAGCGAGTAAAGCTGCCGCCTGCAGTGCCGGCATCCCCTTCCGATCCAGCTCTCTGCTATGGCCTGGGAAAGCAGTGGAAGATGGCCCAAGTCCTTGGGCCCTGCACCCACGTGGGAGACCTGGAACAAGCTCCTGGCTCCTGGCTTTGGATCGACGCAGCATCTGGGGAATGAACCAGCAGATGGAAGACTCTCTCTGCCTCTCCTTCTCTCTCTCTGTAACTCTTTTGAATAAATATATTAAATCTTAAAAAAATAGAAGAAAGTGAAAATAAAGAGAATTTCCATGTATAGCAGACTGGACACACATGTGTATCGTTACCATTCACAACAATCTCCTGGACTGAACTTCAATTTACAATCACATCCCAATTAAACACACAAAGAAGAACGAAGCCCTGCTTGGCAGAGTCTCTGCCGCCCTCCCCAATAAACACCACAGGGCTGTTCCCCTTCCCCCAGTTCATCAATCAAACGCTAGCGCTAGCATAGGTCCCGCTGGGAAGGGGTTCACAGAGGTAACTAAGGTGCGAAGTCAATCATCTGAAGCTGGCGGGTGATGCTGGAATGTCCTAACTGGGGGAGGGGGGCCCTTACAGCATTGGGCTCTTCCGTGGGAGGGATTTCTCCCCTGTGGGCTTTGAACATGGAGGGGCTGTGCTCCCAGAAATGCTGGTGGCCCCTAGGGGTTCTCAACAGCACCCCCCGCCCTGCGCGCATACACGCACCTGTACCCTGACAGCTGGAGACGGGACCCCCGTTCTCCAAGTGCAAGGCACGGAATTCTGCCCATGGCTCAGGCAGAGTTCGGAGGAGGTCTCCACCCCCAAGACGGCAGCACAGTTCTGGGGAACCCTGCACCCAGAGCACGTACGTGCACAGCAGCCTGGAATTTGACCCAGGACCAGCAAACAAACAAGAGGCGTTGTCCCAGGCTACACAGTGTGTGGTGACCTGTTATGCAGTGACAGGAAGCTGGTGACACCCAGGCTGAGGTGTGCACCAGGTACCAGGTACCCCAGCTGAACGTTGCCATGTACCACCGGAGTGAGTTCAGGAACTGGTGTGCACACTCACTGAGTGAAACAAAACCTTTTCCTAACTTTTTTTGTGTTTTTCACTTCACAATTTTGGTGTGATGCAGTTCCATTTTAATACAATCAGATTCCACCCATTTCACAAATATTAATTGGTGCCTCCTATGCAGCAGGTATGGCTCTGTATGCTGGGGTTACAACTTTGACCAGAACAGCCCTAAGCCTTTGTACTTGTCCGTCTTACATTCTAGAGGCTTCTTGAGCGTGAGACGGAACCATTAGGTGTTTTTATTTAATTTTCTTTATCTATTTGAAGGAACAAAGAGGGAGAGAGAGGAAGAGGGAGCACTCCCTGCTGGGGCTAGACCAGGCTGAAGCCGAAGGTGGGAGCTGGGATTGCAACTCCACTCTCCCAGGAGGGAGTTGGCAGGGACCCAACTACTGGAGCTGTCAACACTGCATCCAGGGCTTGCATTAGCAGGAAGCTGGAGTCAGGAGCCAGAGCTGGGGCTCGAACCCAGGCCCTCTGCTGTGGGATGCAGGTGTCTTAACCTCTCGCTGAATGCCCACCCCCGAGGATTTTAAATGAGGAGCTGAGACAACCAGACTCACATTCGCAGGATGACTGACCACTGCGGAGAGAGGAGGCTGGGCATGGCACAACTCGGGGTGAGAGGGTGGTGAGGGCTAAGGGAGAGGGGAGAGGCTGAGGGATGAGGGAGACAGAAAAGGGGCAGAGGCAGGAGGCGAGAAAAAGAAGTGGAATGGAAGAATTTTAAAGCAGTGGGATTTGCAGGTTTAAATAGTGTTCTATGTTTTTAAAAAAATATTTATTTATTTAAAGTCAGAATTACAGAGGGAGGGAGGGAGGGAGGAATGGAGGGAGAGAAAGAGAGAGAGAGTTTTCATTTGCTGGTTCACTCCCCAAATGGCTGCAATGGCCAGGGCTGGGCCAGGCCAAAGCCAGGAGGCACAAACTTCTTCCCATGTCTCCCATGTGGGTGCAGGGCCCAAGCACTTGGGTCATCTTCCACTGTTTTTTTCTGGTGCATTAGCAGGAAGCTGGGTTGGAAGTGGAGCAACGGGTACTTGAACCGACATCCCTATGCAATGCCGGTGTTGCAGGCAGTGGCTTTACCCACTACACCACAGCACCGGCCCTAAACATTATCCTATAAATAATATTTATTTATCTACCTGTTTGTTTATTTTCAAAATGGCACCACATTGTTTTATTCCAACTTTCAAACAATATAAACAGGTGATGACGATGACTTCTTTTACCAAACCATGCACGTGACAATAAAGGAACAGAAAAAGAATTGACAAAAAAGGAAATCATTTAAAAAAACCCGAGTCTTTCACATTTCAGAGCAGTGCTCCGGCAAAATCGGCAAATCTTTCTGGCCAGCTGCCTCCGACAAGGACTGGAACAAATCCCTGATCTTAGTGAGAGTGCCACCGTGTTTCCCCGAATAGTTTATAATCCGAGTCACTGCGTGTCACACTGCTCCACTCAGACTTTCATCAACCTGATCTTTCTTCTTTTTTTTTTATGGGTAGGGAAGGCACACCTGATCTTTTTATTACAGAGAGAGAGAGAGAGAGAGAGAGAGAGAGAGAGAGAGAGAGAGAAATCTTCCCATCTGTTACTTTGCTCTCAAAATGGCTGCAACTGCCAAGACTGCGCCAGGCCAAAGCCAGGAGCCTGGAGCTCTCTGGGTCTCCACCTGGGTGCAGGGGCCCAAGCATTGCACACCAGTTCCTGAACTCACTCCGGTGGTACATGGCAACGTTCAGCTGGGGTACCTGGTACCTGGTGCACACCTCAGCCTGGGTGTCACCAGCTTCCTGTCACTGCATAACAGGTCACCACACACTGTGTAGCCTGGGACAACGCCTCTTGTTTGTTTGCTGGTCCTGGGTCAAATTCCAGGCTGCTGTGCACGTACGTGCTCTGGGTGCAGGGTTCCCCAGAACTGTGCTGCCGTCTTGGGGGTGGAGACCTCCTCCGAACTCTGCCTGAGCCATGGGCAGAATTCCGTGCCTTGCACTTGGAGAACGGGGGTCCCGTCTCCAGCTGTCAGGGTACAGGTGCGTGTATGCGCGCAGGGCGGGGGGTGCTGTTGAGAACCCCTAGGGGCCACCAGCATTTCTGGGAGCACAGCCCCTCCATGTTCAAAGCCCACAGGGGAGAAATCCCTCCCACGGAAGAGCCCAATGCTGTAAGGGCCCCCCTCCCCCAGTTAGGACATTCCAGCATCACCCGCCAGCTTCAGATGATTGACTTCGCACCTTAGTTACCTCTGTGAACCCCTTCCCAGCGGGACCTATGCTAGCGCTAGCGTTTGATTGATGAACTGGGGGAAGGGGAACAGCCCTGTGGTGTTTATTGGGGAGGGCGGCAGAGACTCTGCCAAGCAGGGCTTCGTTCTTCTTTGTGTGTTTAATTGGGATGTGATTGTAAATTGAAGTTCAGTCCAGGAGATTGTTGTGAATGGTAACGATACACATGTGTGTCCAGTCTGCTATACATGGAAATTCTCTTTATTTTCACTTTCTTCTATTTTTTTAAGATTTAATATATTTATTCAAAAGAGTTACAGAGAGAGAGAAGGAGAGGCAGAGAGAGTCTTCCATCTGCTGGTTCATTCCCCAGATGCTGCGTCGATCCAAAGCCAGGAGCCAGGAGCTTGTTCCAGGTCTCCCACGTGGGTGCAGGGCCCAAGGACTTGGGCCATCTTCCACTGCTTTCCCAGGCCATAGCAGAGAGCTGGATCGGAAGGGGATGCCGGCACTGCAGGCGGCAGCTTTACTCGCTATGCCACAGCGCTGGACCCCGCCCAGAGAAGGGCAGTGCGGGACCAGCTCTCCAAGAGGACCTGAGGACCATGCCAGGCAGGGAGCTGGCCCCGGGAGCTGTGTCCTCACTAGGGAGCACCATACTGGGGTCCCCCGAGGGGAGGACTCCACGGGGGTCTGGGGGCTGGGCTGAGTCACACAGCCACTGGCCGCACCAGGTAAACTCATCTTGCAGATGAGAGGGAATGTCAGCATCACGTGGTTTGGAAAAGCTCCCTTCGGGACACTGCCTCCGTGCCCGGGGACCCCAGGCGCCCAGGACCTCTGCAGAGATGAGCAAGGCTCCAGAGCCTCACAGCTCCTTCCGCAAAGGCTGTGAGCGCTGCAAGGGCGCTGAAAAGCAGCAGAGAACGGGAGGAAGCGGTTCTACTGCTCAGTAGTGACCAGGGGCTGGAGGAGGCGTGTCAGGGGGCGGTGGAAACCTCCAGGACACACAAGGGCGGCTGCGCGCTCCTCTCCTACAGCCTCTGCCGCAGCGGGCCCCCGGTTCAGTCCAGGACTGCTCAGAAGCGGGCTAGTTCTGCAGTGATGCCGGGCCCGGGGCTGCCGTCTCTACCCGACACCGCACACGCCCCTTCCGGGGAAGTTAAGTCAAGCGCCGAGAGCGGCGCGGCAGCGCCCCCGTGTGGCCACAGGGCTGAGCACAGAAGCCCCCTATCGCCGCTCCTGCTCAGCCAGCACCCTACTGCCCGCATCAGGAAAGGCTCCGCGCATAAAGGGTGCCCCAGCCCGGTCAACAGCTTCAGAATCGGGACTGTCTGGCACAATGCACAGTGCCGTCGCTGTTCCCTGTCCACTGAGTGGCTCGGGACAGAGCCAGGTGTTCAGACTGTAACAGTGGGTTCCCGGGGCCAGGGAACATACTGGGTGCCCTCAGCCTCCTGGGATTGGACCCTGGACTCCCGAGTTCCTATCACTTGTTCCTGCTGCTGCTTCTGTTGCTGGAGACTCCTCCACTGGGACTCAAGTCAGGTTGCCCACCACCTCTGATCTTAGGAGCTCTCCAGTCGCAGCCCCAAACCTCATGTCTTCCCCAGTGACTAATGCAGAACTTTGGGGGGTCCATAGCCAGGGAAGAGACCCCCAGGCCCTACACACAGCAGCTGAGCCACACTGTTAGCTGGGCAGCAGCCACATACGACCCTGAAATACAGACGACCCCTCCCAAGGCCCAGGAGACGTGGGAGTAGTTGGTGGCCGGGGGCTGCCAGGCTGAGGTGCTGGTGTGGTGAGATCATGACTGGGGTGGTGCTGAGCACCATGCTTGTCGGGGGCTTAGGAAACTGACACCATGGTGGGTACCAGATACACACGCGTCATGGGAGTGTCCAGTCGTGGACAGAGCTGTGTCCCCCAAAGTCCATGTGGGTAAGATGTACCCCCAGTGCGACT